TACCAGGGTTCCTAACTGCCCACAGGATTAAGCATGTGTCTTTATGCTGAGAGACAGGGCTTCTGCAGGCAGCTGCTTCATGCCTCTTATAAGCAGCATTATGGTCTCCAAGAAGATCCCATACCCTAAACTCCAGTATCATGATTACATGATAGATGGGAGGTTGAAGATGTGATTTAGGTTATTATTTATTTTTAAACTAGAGGCCCAATGCATGAAATTCATGCAAGAGTAGGCCTTCCTTCCCCTGGCTGCTGGCACCGGCTTTTCTCTGGCACCCGGGACTCGGGCTTCCATTGCAACCCTGGCTTTGTCTGGAATGTCATCCAGAAGGATATCTGGTCTAATTAGCATATTATATTTTACTATTATAAATAGGGAAATTGTCCTGGGTTATCTGTATGAGCCCAATAAAATTACCCCAATGAAAAGTGAGCAACTTAACAACAGAGGCAGAAGAGGAAGTCAGAAGAAGGGGAAGCAAAATTATTTGATGTCACTCATTGTAATCTTGAATATGAAGGGGCCACATGTCAAAAATGGAGACCTCTCCTACTACAACAAGGAATTGAATTCTGCCAACAATCAGAGAACTTAGAAGAGGATTCTGATCCCCAGATGACAACCACATCCTAGCCGATATCTTGATTTTAATTCAGTGAGACCCTAAGAAGATAATCAAGCCATACTATCCAGAATTTCTGACCTATAAAGACCACGAGAAAATAAGTGGATTTTTTTTTCAAGCTGCTAAATTTGTAGTTATTTGTTACAGCAACAATGGAAAACTAAAACAATGGTCCTGTGCCTTAATTTGTATATCTGTCAAAGGGGGGCAAAATACGTGGTCTTACCTACTTTATGGGACTGTTAGGACAAAATGATGAACAAAAGAGTGTTCTGCAGTCTCAAGTCATAAAAATATTAGGTTATACTATAACAGAGGGTAAAAATAAATCTGTTTTGAAGCAACTGGGTTGAAGTAATTAGGAGTTTAACGCTCCTGAAATTTCCCAGAAGTGCCGAGGTTTTGGAGGAATGCTTCTCCTCTCCTACAGAAGCAGTGCAGCATAGAGGAACCAGAAAACCTATGTCTCAATCTACTTCTTAGAGCAAGTTATGTCACCTCTCTAAGTCTCAATAATATGAGAGAAAACACTTGCTTACCCCCCATCTGCCACTTATCTTTCTAAGTGATTCTCATGTCCATTAGCTACAGATAACTGGCTATAAAGCAAATAGTATGCATGCATATAAGCCTAACCAATGGATCCAGACAACAGGGGGAGGGGGCGGGGAGGGCATGAGTGGGAGGGTTGAGGGTAATGGAGGATGAGGACACATATGTAATATCTTAATCACTAAAGAAATTTTAAAACATGGAGAAACAGATTCAGAAAGGATTTATCTAAGGCCACACACTAGAGCTCTGCCTAGATGATATGGCTGTGTGAGACTCATCTGAAGCAATGAGTGTACACATATGATAGAAATAAAGTAGTACCCATTTGAAAGGCCTATTCGTCCTCCGCAGTGTGTTCTGTTACTGGAAGAAGATATCTTTATTCTGGTAAACTACTCACCTAAAGAAAACAAAGTTGAAAGACCCTTGAGTTGATAATCTGAGCATGTTTTGTGCCATTGGCATCTACATAGTAACACAAGCAATGACATTGCTCTAGCAGCTTCCCTTTAACAAAAAGGAATCAGAAATGTCTGCTCAGATTTTTCAATAACTAGACCAATTATGTTTTACTTTCCAATGATCTAGATGGCAAATGAGGAAGACTAAGAGCTTTTGTTTGGGAATTTTTTATTTGGTGACAAATATGTGGGGAATTAATAAAGAAGGTAAAAGCCAAACCCCTAAATAATGACCACTAAATCCACCCATCATAATACCCTTTGCTAGGTAACTGTGGTATAATGGAAAGAACCTTGAATAGAATCCCAAGGACTTGTGATCTTCTTTAGGCATGGCTCCTCATGTGTTCTGCCTCAGCTTCCCCAATGGTAAACTGTGCAATTAGACTAAATGATTTTGCAAGACACTACCAATCAAATACTATATGAGTTATAAAAAGAGTCTACCTCAAGGCTGTGGTTCTTAACTTTTATTGGGTCATAGGCCCATTTGAAATTCAGTAGAATGTTATTAACATCTCTCCAGAAAAGGCAATTATTGAGGAATTCTGAACACCATTTCAGAAGCTTCGTGAAGTTCCTGAATCCATAAGCATTATGTTAAAAACTGCTTCTTTCAGAAGATAAAAGCGATTAACTGCAGAAGACAAATATGATGCAAAGTGACAGCTGCCTGGCCTCAATCCATCTTAACATTTTCCCCCAGCATTTGACCTAAAAATTAAACTCCTGCAGGACAAACACCAGCTCTCTTCTTTAAAGAACTGTTTTCAGCTCTTCTTTATTTCTTTCCTGCTTACTTGGAAAAGAAGCTGTCAGGGCAAAGCAGGCAGAAGAATAATTCAAATAGACAGAGGCTCTGACATGCAAAATGTGCTTTGCAGATTTATCTTAGGTGGCTGTATGCAAGAGCAGGAAGGCTACCTTCCTGAGTTCACATGGACAGTTTGTGGGGGGCATCACCCAAGCTGTCTGGCCCCCCAGGAGCAGACAGGTTCTTGGTAATATATTGTAGCATCAGAGCTCCAACCAGTCACCAGGATCCATAAGTAAGAGACATGTTATGATTCTCTGATGTTTAGCAAACATTCCTACTTCCCTGCTTCCTAGGTAAAGCCCCAACCCAGGCAGCTTTCAGTTCAGGGAAAGACTTTGAGATCAGTGGTTAGTCCCAAAACATTCAGAGTTCGATGTCCTTTTGAGGAGACAGGAAGTTCAGGAAGAGTTGAAAACTGAGCTTCCCTCTTCAACTCAGGTCAGTGGATAGCTTGGTTTCTGCAGAGTCTGGCTTGAGGGAGTTTAGCCATTCACAGTCTTACAGGAGCTCAAAATAGAACTTCTGATGGGATAAAGACAGAATAAAAAGGAGAAATAAACTAGTTCTTGGACATGTGCCCCCTATTTATAGCATCCGAGAGCCTAAAGGTTCAGGGCCAGGAAGGAGCTGCTCTTCAGCACAAAATGACTCAGCACACAGGGTTTGAAGAAGATACTTCCAAAACATGGAAAGGGTCTTCAGGGGTCAAGGCTTTTTAAACCTGAAAGGGAAAGAGGAGAATAGGGAATTAGCTAGGACTGGTGAAGCACTTAACAGCCACTGAGTAGTGGGGCCTCTCATGGTAGGTAGCTAAGCATGCAATTGGTAGCTAATCTGAATAATAGGGACTGGCTAGGAAAAGGCCCTTATAACTCTGATCCCATGAAACAGGGCCTAAGATGGTCCCTATATGCAAGAATAGAAACTGTGTGCCTTTGGCCTCAATTCTAATCCCCCAAAGGTCTATAGGGGATGCAGAAGCCTGATACCTCTGAGATTATTCCCCACCCTCAGAACAAGGCCACTGCCTTTATAGCATTTATAACATTACAATAATTACACACTTCCTTTTACTGGGACTTCACATCCATTAGGACTAATAAGAAAAAAAGCTTATCTACCTGTGCATCTCTGAGTACTGCCAGTGATAAGAAAGAAAAGGTAGCCTGGGATAGACACCTGGATCTTATTTATGTGTATATTGGTTCATGTTATGCCAGCAATTTGATAGCCAATCACAACTCCTAGATTAAAAAAAAATTCCATGAGCTCCATGGCTCCTGTTGACTTTAGCAAGTAACTTGTTCCCTCCGAACCTCAGTTCCTTATTTGTTGAGTTAAAATACACATTAACCTCGCTATATCTAGCAATTTGATATGCATCAAATGAGCTAATGAATGTGAACGTGCTTTACATCAGACAAATATAAAGAACTAAGAAAGAAGTTTAGGGGGGTAACACTGAAATAGTGATTGGGTCTGAAAAAATAAAGTCCTACTACAGATACTAAGCTACACTCTTGGTTCCTGCTATAATGCCAAAAGAGAAGTTACTGATCTTCTTATAGACCTAAAGAATGCCAGAGTAAGAAAGTTACAATCTTTTCATTTTATAGATTGAGAAATTGAGGCTCAGAGAATGAAGTATACTTGCCCCAAATGTCATAGTCTAGGATTTACAGTAAACTTGTTTCAAAAGCAATTTGTAAAACTACACTGTAGTTTTGCTGGGGGAGAAAAAGGAAAGAAGAAAGAAACTTAAAAACACAAGAGAATCTTAGAATTAGAAGGCAGTAAGTAATTATAGGGTAATGAACTGAGACATGGAGGTAAGTTTCCAGTCTTTGAACCAACGCAGTATTGCAATTATCAGAAACTTAGATCCCATAAAGAAGTCTTATGTGCACCCAGCCAGTGTTGCTCAGTGGTTGAGCACTGACCCATGAACAGGAAGTCACAGTTTAATTCCCAGTCAGGGCACAGGCCAGGGTTGCAGGCTCAATCCCCAGTGGGGTGTGCAGGAGGCAGCTCATTGATGATTCTCATTAAGGTGTCTCTCTCTCCCTCTCCCTTCCTCTTTCTGAAATCAATAAAAACATCCTAAATAATAAAAGGCTAATATACAATCAAATGGTAGAATGATCTGTCTCTATGATGCGCACTGACCACCAGGGGCAGACGCTCAATGCAGGAGCTGCCTTCTGGTAGTTAGTGCGCTCCCACAGGGTGAGCACCTCTCAGCCAGAAGCGGGGCTCACCTTTAGTAAGGCAGCAGTGGTGGGAGGAGTCACTCCCACCTCAGCAGCAGATGGACAACCCCCGAGGGCTTCCAGACTGTGAAAGGGAACAGGCCAGACTGAGGGAGCCCCTGAGTGTACGAATTTCATTCACTGGGCCTCTAGTGTATGTGTGTGTGTGTGTGTGTGTGTGTGTGTGTGTGTGTGTGTGTATATATATATATATATATATATATATATATATATGGCATATGTTTAGCAAGGTTCTATAATCAGGGGTGGGAGACTACATACCTGAGTCTTCAACTCTCATCTCCAGGAAGTCTGCCTTGAGAACTGTGAGTAAAGAAGGGAAAACATTTCACTAAGACTCTAGAAATCAGAACTGGAAAGGCAAAGCAAGGGTAAGGGTCCTTACATACCAGTGTCAATGTAGTCATTTTAAAAAATGGGGAAGTGATTCCATCTAGATTTTTCAAAGCATTTAGCTCCATGCTTGTAGATTGAACTACCTCTCTGGCAGATTTAGAGAGCCCAGTCCAGACACAAAAACATCTTTCAGGTGCCAGACCTTGAGTGCCAGACTGTGGAAGGCTAGGAGAGCCCAGAGAAATTGGTCCAAGACCAAATACTACATTTGTTATGATCTCTAATAGAGAGAAGGGTAAGGATGGAGGCCAAATGCCATGTGAAACATGAATCCTTTTTTAACATGAAGACCAAACTATCTTTTCCTGGCCTCTTGATATACTTAGATCAATCCTAAATTAGACTTATCTAAAGAAAGCTGGAGGGAAAAGACAATCCTGAAGAGTCAAACCCCTATATAGTGTGGACAGAATATCCCATACAACAGCTGGTCCCAGGGCTCTATCCTCAGCTTTATTTTTTCCTTCTCTCTTAAGTCTGTTTACATCTACTAGGTGTACCAATTAATAATGCAGATCTTTTTCAATAGATGGAGTTACACATATGTTGATATATATGCGATTTTGATATGTACGCTATTTTGTTATATTGACAGCAAACTTCAAAACTTTATGTCAAACTTGCTGAAGGAGTTAACATCCTAGACATTTTTACACTTAAAAATGTCGAATTTCGTGCCAAAAAAAAGAGCATTTGTGAGAAGTTTTAATTCATTACTTTATTTTGAAGAAAAAGTTATCGTATACTTCGGAAAGCTTATGGCGAACATGCTCCATTTCAAGATCCTTGTGAACGCTGGTTTAAATGCTTTAAAAGTGATGATTTCAATGTGAAAGACAAAGAAGGTCCAGTTCAACCGAAAAGTTTTAAGACCAACAATTACAAGCATTATTGGATGAAGATGTGTGTCAAACTCAAAAACAACTTGCAGAAAGATTAAACGTTGCTCAGCAAAAAATCTTTTACAAGCAATGGGAAAGATTTTTAAAGGAAGGAAAATGGCTGCCACATCAACTGAAGGAAAAACCAATGGAAAACCGAAAAGTCATCAGTAAAATGTTGCTTCAATGGCATGAAAGTCTTTAAAAAAAAAAAAAAAAAAAAAATATATATATATATATATATATATATATATATATATATATATATATATAAAATTATTATTATTATTTTTTGCATCAAATTGTGACAGGTAATGAAAAGTGGATTTATCTTGAGAATCCCAAATGCACAAAATCATGGGTTGATCCAGGTCAACCGTCAACATCAACTGCAAGGCCAAATTGCTTTGGAAAGAAGACAATATGTTTGGTGGGATCAGGAAGGTGTGATGTATTATGAGCTTCTAAAACCAGGTGAAACCAGTAACACTGATCACTACTGACAACAAATAATCAATTTGAACCATGTTTTGATTGTGAAACAACCAGAATGTGCCAAAGTAATTTTGCTTCATGATGACACACCATCACACACTTCAAAACCAGTTAATGATCTTGCCTGGGAAGTATTAACCCACCTGCCATATTCAACAGACATTGCTCATTCAGATTACCACTTGTTCTGAATGATGGCATACACACTTTCTGAGCAGCACTTCAAAATATACCAAGAAGTGGAAAATTGAGTCTCTGAATGGTTTGCTCAAAACAAGATAAGTTCTATTGGGTTGGTATCCACAAATTGCCTGAAAGATGGGGGAAATGTGTAGCTAGCATAGGACATTACTTTGAATAAATCACTTTTGATGTTTCTCTTGAAATTATCGTGTTTTCTTTGATTACAAAATCTGCCATTATTAACTGGTACACCTAGTATTTATTCCCTGAGTGATCATATGCCCAACCATGCTTTCAATCACCACCATATACTGAGGATCCCCACTCCCAAAAGAGCTACTATTCACAATTTTGTAAATTTGAATACCCCATGAAGTGTAATAGCTATACTAAAAAGTTCTATCCTAACTATCTGTAGATCCAGCCCCAAATACTAGTCTAAGCTGCAGTTACCTAGTGAAAATCTGTATCTGGATGTTCCATAGGGCCTTCAAAAACAGTGTCCAAAATTGAGTAGAGCAGCTTTTCCATAAAACCTGCTCTTCCATGGTTAATTATTATTACCATCTATTTAATTACCCAATTTATATTTTCCTCTCTTAATCCTTCTACAATGTTCCATATTTGAAAAGTCAACAAGGTTTTATTGGATCAATCTAAAATCTCTCCTTCCGGACCCGGGTTCGATTCCGGTCAAGGGCACATACCTTGGTTGCGGGCACATCCCCAGTAGGGGGTGTGCAAGAGGCAGCTGGTCGATGTTTCTCTCTCATCGACGTTTCTAGCTCTCTATCCCTCTCCCTTTCTCTCTGTAAGAAAAATCAATAAAATATATATAAAAAAATTAAAATAAAATAAAATCTCTCCTTCCATTTTATTCCTACTGGCAATGCCAGAGGTCAGGTCCTTGTAAAATCTTGCCAGGATGATTATCCTCCAGTCTTTACTGGTCTCCCTGCCTCCAGTCTTTACTTCCCCATCTATCTTCCCCATTATCAACAGAATGATTATTTTTACAACTCAGTCAGCTCTGGATATGCACTGTCATGCTTAAAAATCTTTCATAACTCCCAATGGAATACAATATAAAGACTGTTGCATAAGCTGTTCTGCCTTACTGAAATGTTTTCCCCCAACCCCCTTCACAATGAACCACTTCTCATTTTTCCTTGTTGTTGTTTTTTTAATTGTTGTGGAAGGGAAATGAATGAGGGAGTGAGGGAATTCATATGTCAGGTATACAAATAAGAAGCAAAAGGGGACAGGGCAAAAATTAAACAGATCATAATTTACATTAGAGATGAGAGAAGAGCCTGGCAACAATATCCACAGATGGGATTGACTATGTCTAGCCTGAGGATCTTGACCAGTAGCCAGCATATAGTCTTATTGATAAAAGTGGTGGTTAAAGCATAGGGGACCATCCATAGACACAGAAGCATAGAACAGACTGATGAATCGCAGAGGGAAGGCAGGGGTGGGAGGTTAGAAAAGTGATTAACCAGTAAAGATACATTTTAAAAAATGTGAGGGACAATACAGAAGGGATGGCTTCCCTATGTAAATGTTGGGTGAGAGAAACCTGTGGGTACTTAGGATGGTGGTTGATGACATACTGAAGAATAGGTGTATCTACTTTGGTCTTATCCATACTCTCACCAATATGCAATCTAGGGAAAAAGATTAAATCTAAGTTGCAGAGGCCTAGACATAAGATAAGCAGAATGGTGCTCCAGCTTAAATTACCACCTTATATTATAGTTGGTTCAAGACTTCCCTGAACACTAGTTGACAAAGCCCTGGAAATAGTAACCAATCTTTCCATGCTGTCAACACTTGTTTGGCTATAGTTTCCATATGGGAAGTCAGTCTGCCTTAAAGATTCTATTGGACTTTGTTCATTCATCTTATATATTACTTCTCAATGTTTTGGTCCTCTGTCCAAGGCTATAGGTCAATCTCTCACATATTTTGGTGTATTGCTATTTATCTTTTAAGCCCCAGATCAGATATCACCTCTTATAAAAAGCTTTCCTTCAGATGTTCAGTTATTATGCTAATTTTAGCCTATTTCATTCTATTTCCTTGGTATTTTTTCTCATATGGTTTATTTTAGGAAGGAAGAAATAACCACCAGGAAGTAAAAAATAACCTTGTTCATATGTGGGTACTTTATTGACAGTATTAATCCCCACTCTTCTCTCTCCTCTTCCCTCCTTTCCCCTTCCTCCCTCCTTTTTTCTTTATCTCTCCTACTTTTCTCTTTATTTGTTTTTCTTCCTCAAAATAGACATTTGATTAGGCCTGCTTAAAAAATGTCCTAGGTAAAAACTTTATTTTCAATCTATCAGCAAAAGAAATCTGAGATTTTGACCTTACTTTTATTTGTTATAATGGAATAAATGGTAAATTATTCTCAAGGGAGTATTTGGCCTGGCTTAGGATTTCCTATGATTACTGCTAAGCAGAACTAGGGTGACCTGTTGTGGAGAATCATGTCCTGGTGACGATATGTTTGACTAGATGATGTCAAACCTACCTCGGTTCACTACTGATAAAGGCACATTTTTCTGTTTTTAACCACCTACAAGAGTTATACTTCTGTCATCCATCCAGAAACATAATTCGAACATTCTTATAAGCAACATGAAACAAATTCATAAGAGTCTCTGAGGCTATGCAATCATTTGTCCAGGTGTTCTAGTAAAAATGATCCCAAATGTCAGGTCTTGGACAGTCTGTATTAGTACTTGAAAAGAAGGAAGAAGGAAAAGGAATGAGGGAGGGAGGAAAGGAAGAAGGGAGGGAGGGAGGGAGGGAGGGAGGGAGAGAGGGAGGGAGGGAGGGAAGGGAAGGAATGAGGGAGGGGAAGAGAGAGAGAGAGGTGAAATAAAACAAAAAGATTCTCAGGCCCTATCTTAGAGACTTTGTTTTAGCATGTCTAGGATAAAAAGCAGGATTCTTTGTTTTTTCCTTGAAAATTTTCAAGGTGATTCATATGTGCAGCTAGTATGAGAACAATAACCTAAGTAGAATGTTTAGCTTTGAAATTAGGGCTATGCTTTTCTAAGGCTGTTTATGTTAAAGTGTTGCATTCTATATATATTTTCCAGCTTCCCCTTAAGAATATAATAGGCATAAATAAGTAATCTAACAAAAAATAAAACCTACATTGAGTGCAAAGTTTTTATAATACTGCTTGGCATGTGCATATTGTGTGTGTGTGTGTGTGTGTGTGTGTGTGTGTGTGTGTGAGAGAGAGAGAGAGAGAGAGAGAGAGAGAGAGAGAGAGAGAGAGAGAGAGGCAGAAAGAGTAAGGGATGGAAAGGCAGTCAGGAAGGCAAAGAG